ACGTCATTGATTTATTCGTATATTTTGGCTTATTTGATCATCAAAATACAAGGTTATTTAGTAATATTATACAATGGGGATTTTAAACGTCATATTTATTACATTTTAAATTAGATTTATTTGGTTTAGTGGCATACATAAAATACCCTTACCACAGCATACCTGCATACTAAGCTAATTTTCATTCTCCTGATTGGACTTACATTAAAATGTCACCCTATAAATATCACATTGTTTCCCTGTTTAAATAGAATTAGTTTAAGGAGTACTTAGGTTTGCTGAAACAGCAAGGCTAAAAAAGTGTGTTTTTTTACACTTTAGTAAGAAATAAATGCATTTTCCAAATTTAATAAAATAATGTTTATAAACAAGCAAACTAGAACAGTTTTCGTATTCTCCGTAAGAATATAATAACAATTGTAAATTTACAATATTTTGGAATTTCTCCGTAACCATTAGGCACATATAACACTTTAATATACTAATATATTTTTTTTGTAGCTCTACAATATGGGTTGGAAAGAATTTAATAAGTTTTTCGTTTTTAGGGTCAAAAAACATAAAATAAAATGTTTACCGCATTAAACCCCTCATAAACACCCGTTCCCATAGTCCAATCATTCTGGTTCGTGAACCCGTTGGAATAAATATAAGAAATTTGCTAAAAACCAATATTTCAATTGTTTTCCTTCACCGTTTCGAGGCAGGAGGAAATGGCTTTTAAAGTAGAAAGAGAGAAGATTAAGTGAACAAAACAATGAATCAAACATCACGCTTTGCTATTGTTCTCCCAAGGCTAGGTTACCAATCTGCCGTTTGTGTTTCTTTTATCAAACATCACGCTTGGAAATTATTATCTCGAGGCTAGAATACCAATCCACCGTTAGTGTTTCTTTTATCAAACATCACACCTGGCCATTGTTCTCTCAAGGCTAGAATACCAATCCACCGTTAGTGTTTCTTGTATCAAACATCACGCCTGGCCATTGTTCTCTCGAGGCTAGAATACCAATCCACCGTTTGTGTTTCTTTTATCAAACATCACGCCTGGCCATTGTTCTCTCGAGGCTAGAATACCAATCCACCGTTAGTGTTTCTTGTATCAAACATCACGCCTGGCCATTGTTCTCTCGAGGCTAGAATACCAATCCACCGTTAGTGTTTCTTGTATCAAACATCACGCCTGGCCATTGTTCTCTCGAGGCTAGAATACCAATCCACCGTTTGTGTTTCTTTTATCAAACATCACGCCTGGCCATTGTTCTCTCGAGGCTAGAATACCAATCCACCGTTAGTGTTTCTTGTATCAAACATCACGCCTGGCCATTATTATCTCGAGGCTAGAATACCAATCCACCGTTTGTGTTTCTTTTATCAAACATCACACCTGGCCATTGTTCTCTCGAGGCTAGAATACCAATCCACCGTTAGTGTTTCTTTTATCAAACATCACACCTGGCCATTGTTCTCTCGAGGCTAGAATACCAATCCACCGTTTGTGTTTCTTTTATCAAACATCACACATGGCCATTGTTCTCTCGAGGCTAGAATACCAATCCACCGTTTGTGTTTCTTTTATCAAACATCACACCTGGCCATTGTTCTCTCGAGGCTAGAATACCAATCCACCGTTTGTGTTTCTTTTATCAAACATCACACCTGGCCATTGTTCTCTTGAGGCTAGAATACCAATCCACCGTTAGTGTTTCTTTTATCAAACATCACACCTGGCCATTGTTCTCTCGAGGCTAGAATACCAATCCACCGTTAGTGTTTCTTTTATCAAACATCACACCTGGCTATTGTTCTCTCGAGGCTTGACTACCAATCCACCGTTAGTGTTTCTTTTATCAAACCTCACACCTGGCCATCGTTCTCTCGAGGCTAGAATACCAATCCACCGTTAGTGTTTCTTTTATCAAACATCAAGCCGGGCCATTGTTCTCTCGAGGCTAGGCTACCAATCCACCGTTAGTGTTTCTTTTATCAAACGTCACGCCTGGCCATTGTTTTCTCGAAGCTAGACTACCAATCCACAGTTTGTGTTTCTTTTATCAAACACTAGCTGGCCCGACAGACGTCGTCCTGTCGTAATGTGGTTTTGTGTCGATGCTCGTTAATTTTCAAGATGAGCTCGTTCGCATGGCTCAATCACGTCCTGGTTGAAGTTCGTTTGCTACCTTTAGATTGGAGGTTAGATCGCTCGCTACGCTAACTCGCCTCCAGTTTGAAGTTCGTTCGCTACGTTCACTCACCTTTTGGTTGCAAATTAGCTGTTGTCATAGATTTAAAAAAATAATACTGCTGTACCCTGTTGGTAAACCTATTAACTTTTTAATGCTATTGAACATCACAGAATCAAATTGTTTCGTTGAACCAGCTGTTAAGATTCTTTAATTCCATTTAAATATGATCACAAGGTTAACATGAAAACTCCAGAGCTACTGAGGCGGAGCCCTTTGCACGGATCTGCACCAAACTTCACACAAACCATCCTTGAATAATGTTTAATAATGTCTGAAAGTTTCATTACAATCTGTCGAGCGGTTTCGGAGTCCATAAAGGACAAACAAACAAACAAACAAACATACATACATTGGATTTTATATATATACTAGCTGACCCGGCGAACTTCGTATCGCCTAAGTTATAGGTTTCCCCTAAATATCAACTTATATATAAGTAGTCCAATTGTATTACCCAACGTTATCGTAAATATCGTAGTCGTTCGTTTTCTATGTTCACGTACATGTCGACCATGAATTGTTGGCAAAGTTCACGGCACCGTAGAATGACGTTGTCATGATCGCGTCTAATCATCAGATGATACGCATAAAAATCCTTCGAGCTAACTTTCTTGTTTGTTTAGGCTCCTGTAGCGGGATCTTTTTGTTTAATATCTATGTAATATCCGTCTTGTCCCTTATAAAACATTAGTAGATATTGTAGAGCGTCGTATGAACGGTGTGTATCAGCAATGAACTCAAGATTGTTATTTCTTTTGCGAATAACAATTTCACGCTTAGCTGTACGGTCGCCAACCATAATTCCAGCAACGTCGTCAACAACAGGTGCATTGAATCTACGAATGTGCTCTCCAGATGGTGTTTTATCAGGATTGATGATAATTGCGTGATTGTCGCTTTGCAATTTGTGCATGTGTGATTTGAACAATTTCAACAATTCATTGTGCTCATTCAATAAATCGTCCAGCTCGCCGAGAATACGTCTGGCAAATTGTGAATTAAGGTTATTGTATTTTAAACGTGCATCCACGCGATTGGCTTGCGCACTTTCGGTGTCCTCGCCACCTATAAAGTAAATTTGTAAAAATTTATGTGGTTCATTTGGCATAGGAAGCAATGAGCCTACTTTGTGGTAAATTTGGCCTTTGATTTTGAACGTTGTGTTAAATTGTTGACCATTTGCAGCATTTAACTATTTCTGTTGCTCCGAACGATGTCATTTGAAAACATGAATTGAATGTTCTAATTGATTTCAGGAACATGTTAGAATCAGGATGCGTACCATTAAGTAAACCTTTCAATGGTTCAGCTGGTGATTCAATTACTGGTAGTTGCACTTTACCTGTGGCGCAACACATCCCGGCTGGCTCATTTTTGAATTTAAGCGCCTTACAATTCGCACATTCATTGTCCATATCACCAATCGCCACTTAGGAATGATCAAAATATTTAACGTCGGGTTCATACTCAAATGCTAGACGACGGAATGTATGCGATATAAAAGCTCGATGCACTTGTTGTCGTATGTCATTTTCTCTGCGTGCTTCAACTACGTATCGACGCGCTTGTCTTTGTTGTAGTCGTCTTTCTTCATTTCTTTCAGCGCGATCATCTTGTGACTGTGATGCGCGCAATTGCGACATGTTCACGCGCACAACTTCATTTTCCTGTTGAATTTGGACGTCTGTCCTTTGGGCTCTTAGATTTCGCCTTTGTATAGCTCCAGCCGTTAGACGGCCAAAATTTGACCCTCTTCGCCTTGCTGGCATTGTTCACTGTAAAAACACAGATTAAACTTAAATACTTAACCATACATTTCAAAACCTAACCTCTAACTACATTACAAAACCTGAATAATAACTTCTTAGCAATATAATAACAGATGTATTTGTTTTGTTTATAAATATTAAATTACAAATAATAAAAATATGTGATTTAACTTGACATCCAAATGCTCTGTAGAGCCCAAACTCCGAGAAATAATAGTGCTGCACCCTGTTGGTAATCCTTGTAACTTTAATGCTATTTAATTGAAACAGCTGTTAAGATTCATTAATTCCATTTCTCATAAGGTTAACATGGGAAACTCCAGAGCCACTGGGGCCTCCCCTTTTAAGAATTTCGAAACGGGAAATAGTTTACTTCCTATTCGCATACCTACAGAATTTACACACCAAATTTCATAACGATCGGTGAAGTCGTTCCGGAGGAGTTTGCAGACAAACACTGTGACACGAGAATTTTATATATTAGATATATATCACACCTGGCCATTGTTCTATCAAAGTTAGACTACCAATCCACCATTAGAGTTTCTTTTGCCAAACATCACGCTATCTTTCTCCCGAGGCAAGGCTACCAATCTGTTAATCCCAGAGACAGAAATCAGTGTTTATTTATTATTATTTTTTTTTTATTGAATACAACCCCTGCCCATATGTTACCCAGAGGCTAATCTACCCGTCGGAAGTAGAAATATTATATAGTTTTGTTTGAAATAAAAGCATCCGACTTACAATCTTACTTTAGAACAAATGAAAATTATTAAGTGATATTTATTTAATGCTATGTTATGGTATATACCTAGTCAATGATGCTATGATTTTATTTTGGTAACTGCTGTACCGAGTACCGAGTTTAATATTGAACGACAATCACCACAGGTTAACGTTAGGTGAGAATACGATAACGTATTATTAGTTTTTTGATATATTGATTTATTATGTATTAACAAAAGTTTTTTTTTTGTTTCAGTCAAGAAAGCTCGCTATTTCGGGGCACAAGGTAAGAATATCATTATTTTACAGAATCTATATGCTTAAATAAATATTTGTCATAAAAAGTGATAGTCCGATTAGTTACAACAGAAATATAGTATTTTAAAATATTTGTTATCGTTATAGCATATCTGCTCGGGTTTTGAGTTTCAGTAGCGCTCTAATGCAGATGTACGTAATTTTTACTATATGCATATTAAGCACCGTAGAGAGCCGATTATCTGAAACAATTGGGGTTTGGAGGTGTTCAGATGATTGTTTGTTGTTTTTTTTCAGATTATTGTTTGTTGTATGGGTAAATTCTTCATATGTCTTCAAGTTATGGGGTTTTATTTGGAAATTCTTCTAGGGATCTGTCTTACTGGCTTCCAAAGTTGCTATGTTGGAAGAATTAAGGTAGAATACGTCTATCTTCAAAATTAAGTGATTGATCTTATTGCTACACTACAGTATGTTGTAATTTTTTGGATCTATTGACTTCAAATATAATTAGTAGTTTAAAAGTAAGAAGTTCTACAAAGCAATTAAGTCTATCTACTCGAATTTTAAATCACAATGTTACACTACTTTAAACTCGTATCAGCATCACTTACACACTCTACTAGGATGCCAACTGAATTAAAACAATTTCATCACACTGAGTAAAATGAATGAGTAACTCATTTATTTTATACTTTGCTCGTCCTGCGCACAGGTCTTGTGCGGCCTATGCGGGACTAGTGTTCGTATTTTGTATGCATATGTTGTAAACATTTTTGGAAATAAAACAGATTTTGGTTTGATTTGATTTGAACTATTTTATATGGCAGATCTCAAGAACAGCACTCTGTCACTCCAGTCCGGACACAGTCCGGACTGTGTGTCCGTTACTCTGTCCGCGTTCTCTTCCCGTTGCGAATTACGGGTATAGCAACTAGTATATAGTTGATTGCTCTCTGTAATTTATGTTCTTGCCTGGGTTCCATGTAAGTTATAAATTTAGACGCTAACGTATTATTGACACATTTTTTAACTTTTCATCATTTGAGAATACATCCAGTTTCTCAAGTAATCTTAATGTTATACAATTACGTCATTTTTTACATCATTAGGAAATAATTTATTTCTATATCTATGCCAATTTAATTTATCTTACGCTAAGCAGTCATTAAGACAATAATTAATATCCAGTAATGTTTATTATTCATTGTCAAAAAAATCATTATTTTAATTATTTGTGCAAAAAATCAACCATAATCATATTATGAAATTTAAATTAAGAACATGATTTCCAAGCTACTATAATACCCTCAAACTTCATAGCTTCATGACCTGGTTTTGATTTTAGGTCGAGGAGTACATAAAGGTGCCTTCCTTGAGTCAGTTTCATCAAATGAACCGGTGGAACTGATACTATACACTTAATTCAGGACAATTATATTTCTGGTTGTGTGGTATACAGAATTAAAAAAAAATTTATATACACACTTTTCTGTTAACCATACAATCGTTCGTATTTAACAAACGTTTCACAAATTTAAAAAAGCATTTTTTTTTTGTTTCAGCCGCACAGAATGACTCGTACGTCACGCTCAAGCTGCAGAATGTCAAGTCAACGACGGTAACAGTAAAAGGGGCCAATCCGTGCTGGGAACAAGACTTCCTCTTGTAAGTATAAGATGTATAATAAATGGTAAAAGCGTTGTATAGTGTATTAATCAATGCCATCCAGTTAAGAGAAAGAGTTTAGATTATTTTGTTTGATAACATTTAGCTTATATCACACGAAAACTGCCAAATATGATCCTGAATATGTACACAAGAATGATGGATTTTGAACGGAGTGTCATAGTGAGTGTTTTTAGAGTGTTATAGCAGTCCACTAACTTTGAATACCACAAGTAGACTCATCATCATAATATAAACCTAAAGCTCTTTTATGTATGTTTTGTGTCTAAATTAAGCTTAAAACACGTAAATTGACCTAATACATGTTTTGTTGTATTGCATGAGGTTAAATAATGTTTAACAGTTGAATAAATAGCTAAAACACGCATCGCCCAAACACCATACATATCTCACTCGTATAAACGATATAAATAGTGTAGGACGGGTATACAATTTATGATCTCTGTGTTTCATCCGTCTATTAGAGCCAGAACCCACCGTCCAAGTTGTTACTGGTCTCATTACCGCCAAACTTTAGGTGGGAAGGCAATTCATAAACGTCTTTGGTAGAACCTGACAAGAAAAATATAGCTAACTTTAGAGGTCATAAACTATAAAAAAAACCTAAATGCCAGTAACGGCCAGAACCCTCAAGGCTAAAGTCACATGATAACCTGACTTTACGAAACGTGACGAACAATCCCGGGTCTGTGTCCAACAATGTAGAGGGGTTTTAGTGTGTAGTATCGTCGTCCAGGAGTCTCACACTGCAGGCTCATGTGTGTAATTTCACTACAAATCCCGAAAGTGGCCCGTTTGACAGCAAGTAAGGGGTTTACGAGCGAGGCGAAGCCGATTCCGGAAAACGACTGTTAAGCCCCGTAATGGAACTTTCATAACGATTAGTGAAACATACTTACGATAGCCTACTAAGTGTCACGGTGCAATTAATCACACAAAGCTTTTTGGTTTTAACTTGCGTATGCACAAATATTCCATAGTTTACTAAATTAACTTTTAAGTTTTCATAGAACTGTTTCACAATTTGTTAAAAAGTCAGGAGTCAACTTCTTAGTTAATTGTTTTACAGTTACACAATAAGTATCCTGTTAAGTAAATATGAGCAAGATAAACGAGGTGTTGGAAGAGAGAGCTATTTCATTTTTCAAGTCATAACAAACGTAAACATCTGAATAAATTTGTCTCACTTGCTTAGAACAATAACTCAGAAGAACAATCCGCCGGCCAGATGACAGCTAGTCGTCGGGGTTTTTATCATTATTTAAACATTACTAAAAGAGTTTGTTTTCTAACATAACTTGGAGTCTGTCCAATTTTTGCTTTACAAAATTAGTTACTGTAGCATCCATTTTGCAGTATATTGATTAGTGTAAAAGAGATTTATAAACAACGCCATAGTTAGTTTAGCCAAGTGATAATTAGGTAAATAAGATTCTGGTGTATCGGGCTGCTCTAATTGGACTATATTTTATACAAAATTATGTTGCTGTATGTGAAATAATAGTTTCAATCTAAACATGTTTTTTTTATGCAATACTAGTACCTTTAAACGATTAGTTTAGTGGACGGATTACAAAATTACTTTATTAATGAGTTGTCTTAATTTCATACAAGGTAAATTGTTTTTGTATGCAAGAAGCATTGGAAGAACGTTTGGCCATATTCGTTAACATTTTTTGGGTTAAAATAGGTACAAAAACTTCATGGGATTTGTTAACATTAATATTTCGAATATAAAAAAAATGTTTGCATATCATACAATATATCAGAAATAATAATATAGAAATTAATTTATGTAAATAAATCAAAATGTCTAAATGCTGTAATATCCTAATACGAGGCTGAAAGACTATTCAATTTAGATTAATGAACCACATTTCAAAATGTATAGAAAAGTGTATACATAGATTTAAATAAACTTCTCTAAAGATTTATCATACTCGTGGATCATATGAAGAAAGCATAAGGCTACTCCGATATATGTAGATGGAGTTTTGTTGTTTATAATTTGATTCTTCTTTTGGCCAACTTTAATACTATTTTGTCTGGTATACAAGTTAGTAATTTGGTTTGATCAAGTCAAAATTAGAAAATGTAAAATCTTCACTGAAGTATGAGAAAACATGTAGTCGATTTTAGCTAACTCAAACAATATGAACCTAATCCCTTTTACAACAATTTCATGTTGATTATAGGATGACAAGTGAATTTTTTTACTATTTATAAAGACTTTTGTTTTAATACATTTAATTTAAATTAAACCCTTAATATTTTGAAAGAACGTATTCTTATTTAATAACCAAAAGATCCCGTCCGGCTTTGCCTGTGACAATATTAAACACCTCTGCTGCAGCAAACCTGCAGACCAAGCGAATTTGCATTTCACTAAAATACTCCCTTTGAGATGTCAGATTTAATCCCTATTCAAATACTATTTGATTCAACGAGTAAGTAAGTTTTTCAGCTACAGGGAAGACAATAAAGCGGGTTTAAGTGAAATCTTGATAGCTTAGTATAAAATAAATATATTCAAAAAAATCTTTCCGCAAAAAGCAAACTTAAGCAAACTATTTATGAACAATAAAAATAACATGTAAATTTTAAAATTACATATTCTGGAAGTTTTCTCCAAGCCTATTAGGCGTGCATGCTACAACCATCCAAATAATAACTTGTTGGTTATATAAAATACGCTCCAAGAAATGGTTTAGAAAGAAATTAAGAAAGGTTATGTTTTGAGGGCTAAAAATAAGAAAATGTTCTTCTTGTAGATAAGAGAGTTAAATTTATAAACAACACAAGGGCTAAGAACTGATCCCTATGGAGCTCCATGGAGGTGTTTGTCATAAAGTACTTCTGTTTCAATTTAACACTTAAATTTAACTTCTTCTCTTTGAACCAGCGTTCCAGCTGTAAACACAAGTTTTTACCACAACTTCACAACTCTTACATAAAGCGTGTGCTGTTGTTTGAATAACCTCACAATAGTTTTGATATTCTAGTTTTCCTTGTCACACTTTTCTTATTTAGGTCTACGTTACTACTATGTACTATGTACTAGATTGTTCACTAAGCCAAGTTCTCAAATGGAAGATGAGTAAAAAATTAAAAAAAAAAAAAATATATTAAACTATTATGATCTCTAAAAGCAACATTAAGAACTCAGAACCAAAAACCCAGTTACTTATTTGAATCAAGTTCTCGCATTACTTTAACGGATTTTTCATCAAAAAATAAACATTAACCATCGCAGTTATTTATACTAGTGCAATCGTGCAAGATGCAAAAAACGGCATTTTGAACGTTAATAACTTTTTTATGTATGCCACTAAACCAAATAAATTTAATATAAAATGTAACGAATAGGATAATAAGACATATTTATTGGTTACTAAGGAGGGTATTCTAAACTGCAATAAGCGTCCAAGTAGAGGGATTCAAGAGATTTATAAGTAGGTACACATTATAATGTTTTCCACGTATAAGTCAACCTCGACCGTTCTAAGCACCCGTATTGTACACCCAAGGACATATCTATGTTTTCAAGCCAGTATTATCTCATTATGTATTTTCTCATTAGGTTTTTCATCAAGGACGGCCTAACGAGAGTTTAATGGTTAATAGACTCTGTTTTATAATCCTAGGGAGGTCTATATCCTTGACACTTGATGAAGCTACACCTCTCCATTACAACCTTCCATTAGTGAAAACCCCGTGAAAGGACAACAGAATTCATATTCTTATTATATGTACATAATTTTACAAACTTTCATTGTTAGATAATTTATATGCCAATAAAATATTATTAAGAGCTTAAACTGGACAACTTTCTTAAGCATACGAGAGTAATATTGCTGTCAACGTTTTAACAAATGACTTTGAAAGGTGACTTTTTGAGTTGTTAAAAGTGAAGTCAGCCATGATACACGTGCTGACAGAAATTATTCACTACCAAGTTACTAACAAGTGTTAGTGAATGTACTGTTGTGCGCCACTGTTAGTTGTTGGCGACTCACTGACTGTCAAAAGTAAAGTTTTGTTGAGTGAAGCTAGTTGTAGAACACGTGCTAACTGAGAGTTCATTTAACATCTTACTAATGACTGTTATTAAATCTACAGTAAAGTTTTACTTTAGACGTTAGTTGTGATGAACAGCAATTGAATGTTCATTAATTTCCTCGCCTTCTTATCGGATGTATTTAAAAATCACATTAACCTTGATATAAACATGCTGTGTATTTCCTTTAATTTCATCTGAACTTCTCATTCAGTGAGAATATAGTAATCTATAAAGAATTCGTATTTAAAATTTACAATTCTCCGCTCATATTCACTTTAACTAAATATCCTGAACATCCTGTTACGTTAAAGTGTCACTCATTCAGAAGTTAACTATTCTGACTCCAAACCGAAAACCAACATCCACCTATTTCGTTCTATGTTCCATTATATGTAGAAAAGACATTTAGTAAATAAGTCAGTCAACTATTCTTAGTTGAAAACTACAATCACCCTTTACCTATTTCAGCTTAGGCCTACCAATTTAATTTGTGTATTCAGAAGGCATTCATTCATTAAGAAAGAATTTTAGTTACAGCCTAAAATAGTCTTACACTCATTTACCTTTAACTAAATAGCCCAGTATGCTTGGAATTTAATTTATTTTGTGATCAATTCCTTATTCAAACCTACCATCTCCCTACACTCGTTTCGCCATACTAGATATCCTTATTTCTTGTCCTATTAACCTACTATCAATCTATGCATCGTTTACTTTTATTGGATGTTATAAAGAGTGTTTTCCATAAATCTATTATATTTTGACCTGATTTGTTTCCAGTGAGACGAACGATGTAAACACAGGGCTGCTGATCGAGGTTTGGAGTAAGGGGATGATCTGGGACCGGGCCCTTGGCTACCACTTCCTCCCTCTGCCTTCCGTCCACTACTCCAGTGAGGTCAGTGCCTACTTTTTTTCCTTTTTTTTAGGGGGGGAGAGGTTTTTGTTTTGTGGACCTGGGACTTGTTCCGAATGGAGTTGTACACCACGCCTCGCATTCTAAGTGTTGATTATCCTGATCAAATATACAACATACATTATCACACGTGTTCATAGGTAGAAATTATTTGGACTATGATCACATTACAAAATAAACAGGTACTCAGTGCCTATTTTACACAGTAGCCCCTCAGAACAATAATGGCTAAAAATGCAATCATATTTTTTACGACTCGTTACCTGTGCGTATGATTGAAAATCAAACTAAAATCAGATTCTTAAAAATATTTTTGTCTTAAACACAGATGGGTTCCTACACAGGCAATATGAGGGCAAGGCAATGATTATCAATAAATAACAAAAATATTCTAAGTAACTATAACATAAAAATAACCATTGTAATTGATCAATCGTCGACAGAAAAAGGGATCTCCAATAGGAAGCAAAAATTCTTTTTTTGGAATAAATAAGTAAAGAATTTCACTCTTTTTTATACTGTTTTATAGATGTTTAACTTATAAGTTTTTAAATAATGGTGTTGAGCCTGTGATTGGATTATAAATATTTCAGTAAAAAAATTATATTTTGTTGAGGAGTATTTTCTAAAAATCTTAACACAGATGCCTTTTTGTTTATTACCAAAATGGATGTTGTTACATTGGATACGAAAATACTCTTCAGTATTGTTTAAGAGGCCATCTAATATAATAACTGAATATTTATATTTATGAAACAATAATTACACTCAAGCTAATGTAACACATACTACACAATCAATTTAGCTCAACTAAATTATGTTCTATTATGAATTCTGAGAATGGACGATAATAAAATGATATCACAAAATTGAAATTATATTATGCCATCCAGACTGCGAGGTGTTTTCTTGATGTTTCCACGAATCCAGCAATTTTCCTTATTAAAGTTGATATTTTGATATTCATATATTCCGTGTAATACAGGTGATTTAACTCTTTGAAACATATACAACTGATACAGTTATTACATTAGTTGATTATATTGGTTAAAAGGGCGTAAAAATTATGTATATCTACATGAAATTGTATTTTATAATAAGACTGAATATTGCGATGAGGATATAACGTTTATTGACTGTATACTGTTATGAGTTTGTATGGTGTCAAAAATCTGTATACTGTCACGACAAGCATACTATTGCATACTGTACAACTTCATTACACATTATACTGTCATTATGTGAACGTTTAGAGACTATTACGTCACGAGAGGGTATAACCATAGATTAAACATACTCCCTTAGTATGTATGTTTAGTATGTATTTATGTTTCCCTAAGGGAGTATGTTTAATCTATGGTATAACATCACATTTATTGTGTGAACGTCACATATTCATGCAAACGTAAAAATTTTGTGTTTCTATATTAGTAGGGGGAAAGTGGTAGGTAAGTACTACACGTACTTAATAAGATTGTTAAGATGCAGCTTATTTGGTCAATACTAAAGGACTCTCAATTAATGAGTGAAAGAATCATGGTAGGCCTAAGTAACGTATGCTTCAGGGCTTACTACTTAGGACGAATGTCATCGATTAAAAGGAATAATTTTGTAAAAAAAAAAAACAAGATTATAACACAGTAAATACATTTGTTTGTATACATTTTTAACGACTACCCAATCTATTGATTTTGTGTTACTGGTGTTACACAATGTGTATTACCGTTTTGTAAGTGTGTACAGTATTAGTGTAGAAACATTTCAATTTTTATTATATCATTGTAAAAGAAAAAATACTAATCAAGAAGTAATTTATAGTTTGACATGATCAAAGGATGATTTAAAAAGCGTAACAGTCCAAGTACATCGATTACATTATAAAGTTTAAAGGTGTTTCTTAATGGAAGAACCTTGTAGAGTAAAAGGTATAACTTAATTTAAACTTAAACGTAAACAATCAGATCCATGCTTTTTGTAAAAAGAGTCTCTCTTTTACTTCAAACATTCATTAAGAGTAGCAACTTTTAAGACGAAAGATGGCTACTTTCATCAATTATTTACCATCCGAGGGTGCTGATTCTTTTTCTTTTATTCGTTTTTTTAATTTCTAATATTAGCTTAAAATCCATTGACATATTGTGTGTTTTTAGCGAATTTCCCATATTGGGAATAAGCTATTACTATCGTAGTCTTAGTAAGACCTGGACCCGGGACCGATTTACGTTTTTATTTTGAGGTGCTCAGAGGCCGAAAACACCATCCGTTCGAATACAGATATACATTATATATTTATGGGTTTTATGGGATTACAATTGGTTTTTCCCTTTTTTGACCCTAAAAACATAATAGTTTACAATTTCTTTCCAAACAGTTGTATAGAGCTTAAAAAACTAATGATTATATTGGAAAATGCATTTATTTGATCCTAGCTACGTATTTTACAAACATACCTTTAAACCCTCCCTTTTGCAACAAACCTAAGAACTCGTTAAACGAATGCTATTTAAATAGGGATTAAATGTAATATATTGAAGGAGATATTTTAGTGTAAATCTAATCAGGGAAATGGAAATTCACTTGGTTTGCAGGTTTGCTGCGTTAGGGATATTATATATATTGTTCGAAATATTGAACTTTATTATCCCATAGATTGTTCATCCACTCTATTTCAAATAAAGATTTTACTTTTAAGTACACGTCATAATAGTAATACAATGTTCTTAAATATTACAGTAGATACTATGTTAAAATAACTAACTTTATTGTATTTAGAGGAAAATTTTCGATTAAAGGAGTGTAGGAGTTTTGCCAACGGGTATCAGGTAGAAAGGGTCCCCATCCGTGAATTCCTCATACTGCGGAGTTTTGCCATCGGTTGTGGGTTGCGCGAGAGGGGGAGGGAGAGAGAAAGAGAGAGAGATTACACGTGACCGTGAGGGTAGCTTCCGCTAGGGATGGACAAACCAGGCAGGATGCTGACTGTGTTCAGTATTGCAGTTAAGCACTTCTGATTGTGAAAGGAAATGTATTGAATTTGTAACCTAACCTAACCTAACCTAACCTAACCTAACCTAACCTTACCTAACCTTACCTAACCTAACCTTACCTAACCTAACCTAACCTAACCCACTGCGACAAGCGCATAACTGCCAAGCGTAGACAACCCTGACAATCGCTCTCCCTCCCTCCCTCACACTCTTTCTCCCACCACCACCGTTGGCAAATCTCCGCACCAAGAGGTGGCCGAAGGCATCCCCCCATCTACCTGACACCCGTTGGCAAAACTCCGGTTCCCCGATTAAAGCCAATACTCCAATATTCATTGTAATTTCAAAAAAAAACTATAACTTTTGTTACGAAGGACAAATTTATTTCATTTTTATATGGTAACAGGCATATTTATTTACTCCAGTAACAACACAACTAAAATAAATGTATTCTAAGTTAAGCTATGTAGTTAACGTTGCTGTTTAGAGTTTAGAGTGTATTTCTTCTTTTTCGAGACAAATGATCAGTAGGTAGATAATGACTTTAGATAATGTATATACCAAGACTGCGCCCTCTACATATAATATTGCGAGCCAAATCAGGAATATAAATAAATTGTAATCTAAAGCTTTGGTGGCACCGATGCAAACGAACGCAGTTAATTGCTTGGAACATTTTGGCCGACTAAGCTTGCCTGGATTGCATAGAGCTATCCATTATACTTTTTTTAGTGTTTGAAAATGGCCATGTTCATTTATAACCATTTGTTATGAAAACGTATATAATGTTAAAAAAAATCGTCTAAAATGGTCTAAAATTTTGAATATATGTAACTAGCGAACAAATCCACAAACGCAAAAACGTTTGACACAAGCATAGTGTTTTACCTTATTCTAAAGCAAGCCGTAGTAGGTAGGTCCCAAACACGTATTGAAAATACGAATGCATTTTGTTCCCTCCAGTACGACAAATATTTTGGTTTTTAAATCTCAAAAACTTACTTTTTCTGGGTTTCATGAATGATTAAGGAATATATCGTGCGCAATTACAAAGGTTTGGTTGTGTTGCTAGCTTAGCCTAGCGTCTCGGATTTTGGTGCGGGAAAGTTGTAAATACATAACCATAAATACAGATAAATATTCAATATGCAATGTGCTTTTTTGAATTCACCATAATTAATGTTTATTGAATAATGTTTTTATAACAAGTGGGCATAGAAAGTAATTTGAAGTTTAGATGTAGGTTATCAGACGAAACTGCGCCAATCATGAAACTGTGCGAATCATGAAACTAGATGCTTCTCTAGGTTCTTTAAATGAAACCAGGTTATACTCGAGGATTCAAACTACGAATCACACAGTCAGTCATTTACCTCTAATGACTCTACCTGGTGGGTTGAACAGTCTTACACAAATGAGCCAAGCTAGATTTTAATTTAATTTTTTTAATAATGGTTTATCCCTTTAACAAAAGTATAGTGGTAGATTAAAGATTACGTCAATACGAAATAAGGGTTGCGCATGGATTTTTGAACTCATAGAAAAAAGAACAAACAACATAATCCCCCCTCCTCCCAGAAAAATCCCCCCTTCCCACCCCCTAATTCCCCCCTTACTTTGTTCTATTTTATTGTTGAAAATGTAGAAATGTGTCAAAGTAGTTTGAGATTATTACCGTCGTGGTGGGGTGAAAAAAAAACTATGATATCTTATGAAATGTATTATGTTTATTGGCCTAAACAGTTTTTCTATTTTGAATAGTGGCAGTCTAGGGCACCCATTCTGCAGACATTTGTAGTTTTTACCTAAATCTAAACATATACTGGTTATATTTATTAAACTACGAACCTTTTTAGCGAATTTCCCATTTAGGAAATAAGCTATTACCGTAGGTCTCATGGTAAGACCTGGACCCAGGACCAATTTACTTTTTCGTTTTGAGGTCCCCCAGAGGTAAAAAAAAAACACCACCAATTTGGTACAAACGTGTAAACC